CACCTCACAGGTTCTATGGTGCTGAATGCTCATTTTCTGCTGCAGTGCAGGTCTCAGTTTTGGACCACAGCACTGAGAGTAGCAGTGATATAGTACTGCCCAAAGAACAAATCAGCACTACAGTCTCATTTCACTGTATCCTGATGTTAGGATTTTGCACCATCTTTCTGGATTCAGACTATGACTGGCAGCTAAAAATAAATTACAAGTCGCTTTTGTAAATACAAGGAGCTCGCTCGCTATGTGAAATACTCCTGCCCTCCAAAACCTTTGCAATTTATCTTGAGCTTAAACCTCATTATTCACCACGTATCAAAATCATGCATTCCAGGATCTGCATGAGGTGCACAGAACTTTTGAGAAAAGGGACTACTTCTTATTATGCTGCCAGATAAAGACCAGAAAAGCAGAAAGCAAGAGAAATGTAAGAACTCGATCAAGTTCTTTTAGTTAAAGCAACTTTAAGTAAAATACCTCAACAAGGTCAAATATCTGAAAGATAAATACGAAGACCAAAATAAGTGCATCTACTCGGTGCAATTACAGAAGACAGTGAAGGGACAGACATCTTTTTCTCCCAGGATGAGTGAATTTATTCACCAGCAAAGTCTTGCAACCAATTTAAAAAGAAGAGCTCACGACTCTTCCCTGTGTTAATTCTGCACCTCTGTAAATCTCCGTTCAGTTTTGGTTTCCCTTCCTTTCTCTCTCTCTCCCTGTAGTTTTTTTTTTTTTTTTTCAGATATCCCTACTGTTTAATGCACTTTATAGCTGATACCAAACAAATCTGAGGCTATGAACAGATGATTATTAAATTCCAACTGTTTACAGCTAATGTCAAATGAGTCACATTAACTGCGCGAAATCCCAAACTTTACCTCTTTTTATGTAAAACACAGTATTTTGAAAGCACCATCATGTTTCAAACTTCTTTAATATATAAAAACTCAAGAGCTGCAATTTAAAGCAAATAGAACAAATAATTTAAAGTTGGTGTATATCTCTCCCCCCTCGATTCACAACCCCCAGTAAACACAGATCTTCATCAAGAGAGGCTCACTGTCTATCTGTATAGTCACACAACATTAAAATGCAGCCTGTTGTGCAACTACCTGTGAATTCCTTTAAAAATGATTGTGACAGACATCTCCTAACTGGAACTTCAGGAAAATACAGGAAGGAGAAGGTTTCCCTATCCCTGCACATTTTCTGCAGGTTGTCGATTTTCCAGCTATTCTCCAGCACTTTTATTGGTCATTGATGCAAAAAGCAGAAGAGAGAAAATAGTTTTTGGAAAACAGAATACTTGACTGGAAAAAAAGAAATCAAGAGTGGCACTTAAAGCTCATGTTAACATTTAAAAGTCTGGGTGATTAGCCTCCTTAAAGAAATGTTTGCATACTCTTTTCATGCAAACTGAGTCCAGTGCAGACACAACCTCCCCAGTGAACTCACAGACACAAAGCAAACTGGCAGCTCTGCTGCTGCAAGTTGTGCTTCTGTACCTGAGCATCACCCAATTTGCTACAGATATGTTAGAGGTGTGCACCAGGTGTGCTCCTTGGCATTCAAGGCACATTTTCAGGATGAGTTCAATTCTCATATGTGTGTCTCAGCCATCTCTGCAATGTCTGAGCAGGGCACAGCAGTGATCTCTAAGGATGAGTCTAACCAGGGAACTGCAGGGCAGATGAGTGGGGCCATTAACTGAGGAACATCACACTCATATTGGTTCTTGTTTCTTCCAACAGTAAGAAGATATAGTAGCTTCTTCGCACAGTAAGGAAGAGATTACCTTTATAAAGAGACTGCTACAGTCACATAAAACTCCAAATGTTTTAGTCACATACTGTTGGCATTTTCCAGAAAACCTCCTTTGTCTGAAGAGTAAGACCCATAGCTCTGTTAACACCAGGCACATCAGTCTAGGAAGCAAGGCAGATGCAGGAATTCCTCCTATCCTACTCAGGGAAGCCTCACACACCTTATTCCTCACCAGTGCAAGGCAATGGCAATGCCAGCTCCCCCAAGTGACCTGTAATGAGTATTTGTAATGCAGATTCTGTCCAACTTAACCAACTTCCACCATGTAAATCTTTGTACTTTCCCTATGTGAGAAGTCTACAGAGGGAGAAGAATTGTTGCTCAGCCCACATTAGAAGACAACACATTTTGTGATGTGTTTGAGGGTTTCTGGGAGTGCAGAAAGGTTTTTCTTGCCTGATTACCCTTTCACCACTTACAGGTGTATTTCAGGGCCAGGCTTAATGTACCATCTAATCTGCAGTGCTTTCTTTTTTGCTTAGCACAGGAATCAGTACTGTCATCCAAACTTCTGACAAAACAGCTCAAACTGTCCACAAAATTCCTTCAACAGACAGGAACTGACCGCCCTGAGAATTTGATATAAAAAAGGAAAGATCCATCAAACTACACAAAATAAGATCTTTATTCCAGTATTAAAGCCATAGGAATGTCAGCTTACACATTGTCTGTCTAACAAGTTAAAGACAGACCACAATTTTCTTTTTTTTTAATTTTTCCTTTCGTTTTTTCATTTCTTGTCGGGGAGTAGCTAACCTGATGCCACCTGAGAGTTTCCAAGCACACAAAGAGGGCTGAGCTATCCACCTATTCCTGAGCTATCCACCTATTCCTGATTGCCCATTAATACTGGTTTTATTAAGAGAAACATTCTCTCAGATGAAACAAAAAGCTCCCCTCGTTAGCAAGCAGGTTAAATTTGTGCTTGGACCCTGAACACCTTCTGGCCTTAAAGAAGGAAGATCAGAGGAAAACCTTAGGATGCACCATTAAATCAGAAGACTCCTTTCTTGCCCTCTCATTCTTCTCTAGTCTGACGTCTCTCTTGCTGCTCCATGCATGGAAATGGAACCTTACTGGTGACTGTCCACTGATCTGACCCTCCCCATCTCCTTCTCCTTCAGGTTGAAGCCAGTCACATCTAACAAGGCCATGGGAAAGAAATCACACCCCATTCATAAAACCAGACATATTCCCCACCAAGCCAGAAGGTGGCACGGGGACAGTATTTTAAGTCTGCTGCTGGGCTTCTGGAGCTCAGCTCTGCTCCTAAATTTCTCAGGGCATCAGTTGTCATGAGAGCTTCTGAAAGGAAGAAGCCACCACTCCCACACGGGAGATGCAGTCCCAGGACTCAGCCAAAATGCATTGAGATGTACAAACTAAAGCTCTGAATTTTCTTCAGAGAATGCAATCTACAGCTGGGAGGTCTGGATGGCCCCTGCTTACTTCCATGCAGCCTGACAAAGCCACAAAAGAGGTCTGTGTGAAGGAAGGGATCTCTGCTGAGGAAAAGAATGACAGGCCTATTTCCATGCTTAAGACTGCAAAGCTGCTCAAATGGTTACAATGAGAGATCTGTGCCCTTTGGCACAGTGAAAAGTTGAGTTTCAGATCATAAAAATCTATAAAAATGCATACTTGAACTAAACTGGTATTGACTCAGCACCAAAATAGCCTGAGGGTTACACCTGCATACTCAAATTAATTTTCAAGTGCCTCTTTTGCTATGCAGGGTATTTTATGTTACAGTTGTACCGTGCTTATATAACCTACTCAAAATGTATTTCCCCTTGTCTGGAGTAACAACTTTCTGGAGATGTCTCATAAAGTCCAATTTGGAAAGAAATTAAAAGCAAGAGCCTTCCCCACATATTGCTTCCTGACTTCCACACAGAATACCTGCTGGGCTGAGATCAAGCAGGTCTCTGTTGATTACAGAGCACAGGTTAAAACTCATTGAGTTGTTAATAAATGAAGGCTTATATAAAGCCCTTTAATGTCTTCATCAGCAAGCATTCTCTATGGCTTACTGGGAAGTGCTTTTGTATGGATCCCACTGGCAGTGGAGCAGACGTGTTCAGTGTGACACACAGTGGAACAGCAATCACAGAACCAGCAGGGCTGGGCACCTGTGCTCACCTCACCTCTGTCCCAAGGGATGTTAAACTATAGTGTTATCATTCCTGACAAATACATCTTCCTGACTACAGCACCTCAGTTCCCCTCCTTCCCCCACACACCAGCCATTTACCCCAGCCCTTCACTGCCCTCACTACCCTGCTGCAATACCAGCTTCTTACTTCTTGTCCCAAACACCACGGAGATCAATAACAGGCTGTTCCCTTCCTCACTGAAGTCTCTTAGAAGCTCCCCTCAAAGTCTCTTCTTCATGTTATTTCAATCAGTACTCCATGGCAGGTTTTCTGAGCCTCTAATCATTCTCACTGCCTTCCTCTGGATTCTCTCCAGTTGACCCAAATCTTTCACAAAGGATTTAGTACAGCAGTCCTCCTACAGCCACTTCAAGCCTGAACCAGGCATAAGGATGACTTCTAATGTCCTGTAGGACAACAATGCTACATAATCTGACACTGGGTTATGTTTGAGCAAATGCTATGAACTGGTTAAGATCTTTTATTTCAATAAAACTGGAATCATTGTTCTATGAAAACAGGAGCAGTATGTATATACTATATACCTTATCAAAGGCAACATTCACACATGATCAAACTACACAATTCAAATTACTGGGTGAAAAGTACACTATCTGTCCAGGAATCAGCAGTACTGTGCCATTATCTCTGTCAGGAGATGCACAACTACATACAAGAATCTCAGCAGCCAACTCTCTGTCATCCTGAAAGCCTCCTGAAACTCCTTTGCAAAGAACTTTCACCAGGCCATGCTGCTTTTCTGATGGGCTATAGATCTTTTGTCCAGTTTTTCCTGGGATAAGGCTTCCAAACTGTGGTCAAACAGCAGAATTATAAAGAGCCCCAAACCAGCCCAGATTAGCTGTATTAGAAAAGGTCACTTCCATTCTGTGACAACGGTTTTAAAAAGAGTTTGAGGACAACTAGTTGCACTTCTCCAGCTTAAGGTGTCCTATTTTACAGGTCCTGAAATCACTATAATCTAAAACCATAAACCAAAATTCTGTCCTTTGTACTTACCCCTCTCTTTGGTACTCCTCATCCAAATTTGACAAAAGCTGGGACCCAGCCACAGACAGATCAAGTGCAGCTAAAGGCAGATCTCGATAAGCAAAGTTAACAAGCTGTACAGGAGCAATGCTTTTGGTCTCTTCTTCTACTTGTTGTGAAATTATCTCAACTTCTGAAACACCACCTTCAATTGTAGGCCTGAAAACATAATAAACACACATACACACATAAAACATATAAATATATAAATAAGCAAACAAGTAAAAAGTAAGTTAGAGACAAGAACTTCATGGAATCCCAAAGAGCCAGCAACTTAAAAGGCCTCTGCAAGGTCATCGAGGGAGGTGTTGTCATTGAGGAGACCAAATCTCTCCAAACTTGTCTTTCGTAGATCTCACTGTGATCAACAGAAACCTCACAAAGGAGAACAGCATTTCACCCTGCTGAATCTGCTTCAAAGGCACTAAATATAAATGGATGTGTTATAAACAAACAAACACAGAAAAAATGCATGAACCCAAAAGCAAAATATTCATGCAAAACAGAAAGAAGACGTGAAACTGTGCCAACTAAAAACTCACTGCTTTGTAAGTTACATCAGTGAGCAATAAATAGCTAAACTTATTAATCATTGTATACAAATCAACCGTTAATTAATGGATGCAGTCTGACCCCTCTTCCACTGTGGACTTGAATATTGATTCAAATAGTTCTGATGGATGGCAGCTTTGTTTCATTTAACTAGAAAAGATCATTGTGCTATCACAAAATAGTTCTGAAAGGAGAACAATGATTCAGAAGAATTATGGACTCCTCCATAAAGATTACCTAAACTGTCCTTATGCACAGCTACTTAATCTGATCGTGTATTCTTACACCAGCCCACTAACACTAATGGAATCTCCATGCAGCTAAAACCAGTGTGACACTGTGCATGTCTTTCACATCTATAACAAGATACTCCTGCTCTCGAAACTTAGGGAGTGTATTATCGAGTGCATGTGAGGGATGACTCCACTGCAGGACAGTTTGCATGGCCAGGGTGATCCTCTGCAGCACCAGCCAAAGCTCTTGCTCTGTTTGATCCACAGTAGGTGCAAGCACAAACTCCTCCAGCTTTCTTCCAGGGGGGCCTCTTAACTTCTGAAAAAATCTCAGGCTACTGTCAGAGGTTTTCAACAGCAGGTGAGAAGATACTCCTTTTCCACGGGGATATAGTTAAAAAGTTCTTAGCACCCAACTTCACTCTGATATTTGACTGCAAAAATTGCACTGGTGATTTTGTTTTAAAGAAGCTTATTAAAATCTTCCAGCAATTTAAGCAACCTGATTAACAGTTCCTTTTTTTTTTTCCCCAGAAGTAATGAGTTTAGAAGAGTATTTAACTGTTATATTTTGTATAAGGATATAATCTATGGAGGTGAGTGAGGGAACCAAAATTCTGTGTGAAGGTTTCTATTGGTCAGAACCTCACATTAGACTAACCCTTTCAGATGGAAGACATTATTCCTAAATTAAATGGAGCTAGCTGCTGCCAGCATTACATAAGAAAGTAACTCAAAAAAACCCAGAAAATGCTGTTATATCTCCAGTATTTGGCAGGGAAAGGCTGTAGCTGTGTCATACTATGGCAGTGAGCAGAGGTAAAAGGAAGTACTATTTGAACAACCTAAAGGCCTTTATTTTATTCATGTGTAACTAATAACGGAAAGTAATGAGATTCTTTGATTTCCAAACGAACTGTGTTCTTCTGTAAACAATCTGAAATCAGAAACCCAGAGGTAGGAACTAATTTTAGCAAGAATTTTCTTTGATTTTCACCTTTAGTGCCATCCTGTGGACATTTACCTTTATAAGACCAAGCGGGTTCAGTTTTACATGAAAGAGCACACGATGATCCCATTCCCAGTATTATAAAGAAAAAAGGAGAGGGGTTGGTGCTGCCTTCCCTCTCCCAACAGTACTTAGCTTCTGTATTCTTAGACAGACTAAATCACAGACATAATCTGATTTGACTGAAAACAAAACCAAAAAAACAGACTAGTGCTGGCAGACAGACTTGGGACAGGTTTGGTGGCAGGGAAAAAAAAAAAGACAAACAGACCTGAAAATAATATAACATACCAGTTTTCAGCCACTGCTGTTAGTAATACATCAGACACGCTTACAGCATTCATGTTTTTTCTGCTAATTCACACTCTTTAGACAACTTCAGAACCTTTTTGATGTCACAACATCGTTCTCCTACAGGTAACAACCTGTTCCCTTTCATTCAAAATCAATTATAATTATATCAGATGGTACTTACTGAGGATTGGTCATGTTGGAGGATGCAACCTAACCAGCAGTAGTTCCAATATTTAACTAATTCCAGCTGCTCTGCATCCAAGTTCTAGCCTTGCAAGATTAGGTCTCTGTGAGAAGCAAAACAAAGTTACACAAAACACAGCTGAAAGAAATCCAAAGGGCTACACTGACTTCTGTTGTGAATTTGAAAGTTTGTCTAATAATTTTATTTCCCCCGTGATTGTTTTTTGAAGTATTTTTATTCCAGGTTAATTCTTCCATATTATTGAGGCTGTAAAGTTACAGTGCATTTACTCATACACACAGACACATATACTTCCATAAGAATACAAGTCTTGTTTTAAACCACTGCATTGTTGAGAAAGATAATCAAGGTCAGAGGGAGAAGTGGATTTTCAAAGCAAGCTCATGGCTTCAGGAAAGCAAATTCTACTTGAAGCCAAGTGATTTTTTACAATTTAATATACATTAAAGAGATGAGCATTAGCTTTGTCGATGAAGGTCAGGGATTTGTTCTCCATTTCCCAGTCTGAACTGTGTGCCTGACTCCATTCGCTGCTTTAGAAAGCCTCTTTCAAGAATCAATTCATGTTGTCAAACATTCTAGATGGGCTGTTACCAGGAGAGTATTTTGATCAACAAAACCCAGTAACACCTTTGGAAAAGGTGCCACATTTGCCTGTGGCAAAATCTCTGCTCGTGCTGTGCCTGGACCAATGCACTGCAACCAGAATGTTGAGTCTGTGAGAATGAAACCTACTGATACACAGGTTTGGGAAGCAGGAAAAACAGAGATCATCACAAACCAAACAAAAATTCTTAGAGAAAGATATAATGAGAGACTTCGTAAAGCTACTGTAAAGTTTATATGCTAAATAATTTTTTAAAGCAAGATCAAAACAAACTCGTATTTTAATTAAACAGAAATAAACATCGGCAAATCAGAATGTTACTGACAGTAACACCCATGATCATGAGAAATGCTTGTTATACTAAACTTTATAGGAGAGCCACTTACAGGCTGAGTTGTTGGTCAAGTATTTACAGTGGAGACATACAAATGTAGCTACTGTAAGACCTTTAATAATCACCTGATATCAAACAATAAAATTGAACTTACGTCTTTTGTAGAGCCATTTCCAAGGCCTTATTTCATGTTTTGTAACCTTACAAAAAACGTAAAATATAGCCAATGGATTCTCACATCTTCCAGATAATGTGCCTGGGTGTGCAAAAAGAAAGGGTATACATTGTGATCGCCCTCCTCAAGTAGATAAGTCAGCCAAAAGCAATTTAATTATCCATATGAAGAAACATGGACAACTTCAAAACCAAAGACTGCACGCATTTTAGAAAGACACACACTATTTATTTATAACCTTGTATAACTTCTAAAGATAGAATAAGAAGCAAACTTTTTTCAGATAAAGCTTTGCTAATACAGCAGAAACTTGATTTGACATCCATTCAATACCAATGGGAGCCTCTTCCCTGGCCTTTGTCATCCTGAAATTATTTTATTTACTATATCCCTAAGACAGCAAAATACTAGAACATTTGCCTAAAATTACGCATGTTTAAATCACACAGAGCTTTATGATAGCAACTGTTACACGTACCAGCACAACAAAACTAAAATATTAGAATTAGCCTTGTTCTGCGACGTTCGCTCTGTAACATCTCCTTTGGGTTGATGTTTTCACAACACAAAAAACCCCAAACAATTCTGAATGAAAAATTTTACCCAGACCAATTGTTCTAAGCACTCAGCCTGAGAAAAACCTAAAGGCACGAGGCACTGTGCACCTGTCTTGTGAGACTGAGGAAAACGAGACTCCTGCTGGAAATGCATTTGCAGGTCTGGAGGATAGAAGGTACATGGGGATACAGCTGACATAGGAAATGGGAATAAAACTGATGGAAACTGGCCTCAGAGGACAGGCAGGCAAATGTATATGTGGGAGTTTCTAAACCTAGTAAAAAACTCACCATTTATCCATGAGACAGCACAGTGTTAACATCCCCAATCTCTCTCCCAAACAGGGCTTAGGAAACAAAACAGTGACAAAAAATGTATAGCTAGATTTTTAAAAAGTCTTATTTTTTAGACTAATCTCAAGATTTTGAGGGAACTGAAGTCATAACAGGGGGGCCAGCAACACTGCAGTTCCTTCACACAAGACACGAACATTAAATATTTGCCTCTCCAGAATACAGAGTCTCCTTTTCTCCTGAAAGCTGGAAATACATGCACAGTCATACAGAATTTTGCTTTACAACTGAACCAGGTCTCTGAACCGGACCTGACTGGTGGCAACACCCCTAAGCCAGACCAGCTCCCTCCTCCTGGAGTTGGCAGCTCCACAGGTAAAGTTTGCTCACCAGCAGGACCAGAGGAGCAGCTCTGCTGACAGCGCCGGTGGCTCCGCAGGGAGCAGAGTCCAGCTCGCTGAGCCCAAGGGATCTACCATGACACAAGGTGCTCACAAAGGTGGGACGAGGAACCTGGAGACACACCTGGAAGGAGACACAGGGAGTCAAGTTTCCAAAGGACTCAGTGGAGCCTTCCTGAGAGAAAAAGTGGCCAAAAGTGAGTAATTTCTGGTGCAAATGACTAATGTATTCGCTGTTTTAATGAACTGAAAGGACAAGGAGTTAGCAAGGACAATAAGAGGACAAAAAAGATGTAATAGGTTGTTGTATATCTATATCCTAAATGGATTGCTGTGATTCATGCTTCTTTCCAGACTTTATGCAAGCAACAGAAATGTCTTAACATATACTGATATTTTGCAGAAAGGTATTTTTTACCATCCACCCCACCTCATCTATCTGTTTTTAGCTTCCTTAAAAAACCCCACCTTTTATAGCAACATAAAACACTTGCAACTTCCACAGGAAATTTCTGTGCAACTGAGTGGTGTTTAAAGGCAACAAGGATCAGCAGGGAGATTCTATTCTTCTGCACTTATCTCTCTCCTGCATTCCTATAGGATATAGTGTGGGCAAAGAGGAATGATGTAGCTCTCCTCCCTACCAACTGAGCAGAGATAGGCAGAGGGCAACTTTTGGGTATTCCATCCATAATCTGAGTGAAAATTTTTCCATGCAGCCCCTTCCCCACCTGACACACTTAATTTATTCAGTAGACAAAAAAGCCTTGTCTCTTATAGTCTGGTCTGACAGAATTAGTTAACAGGTCCAGGGTTTTTGGCTTTTTTCCCCTCATTTTATAGAACTGAGACCAGGCAGCACCCAGTACATGCTGAGCTGCCACTCAGTGTGAGTATGGGCACTGCCCAATCTGCTTGTTCTGTAGTGTGTTTTCAAGGTGAGATGGCTGCAGGAGAGCACAGTTTCCAAAGTTTAACAGAAGTAGTTTAAAAAGGAGATATAACAGACAGGAAAGAATTGTCCCATGAGTTTCTACTGCAAGCTTTTAGTGATATAACAACCCAAAACATTCACTGGACTAAATGACTGACGTATTTGTATGTACCAAAAGCACAGTGCAACCTAATGGGAAGCATGTAAGTTTGTACACAAGTAGCCCAGCTTAAAATGTGTGGGATCACAGCACAAATCTCAGCCGAGCTGACTCAGCTCCTCACCCTCTGCAGCAGGCGAAGGAAGCTGTACCCCGTTCACTGAGCTCTTTCTGAGGCAAGATCTTCCCAGGGTTTAAAAGTGCTGGGCTTGCCTTCCAAGCCCTTCAGCTTTCCTGTTCTCTGCACAGGTACTGCACATGCCAGTGCTCCTCAACCTGTGGGTTGATTCTGTTTTCTCCCCCCCTCCTCTGCAGGGGCACCTGCTTCAGCTCCTGGGCTGGGCAGTGGGGTCACTGCACTGAGCAAAGGTTCCCGCTGCTGTCCTTGCCCAGCACACATCCCGCCTCAGTTAATTCGTTAATGTTTACAGCAACCTTCTATTGTCAGTCACCACACCCTGGCTGGAGCTTGCTAATAGGAGATAAAGTCCAGCTGAAACAACACAAAGCACAGGACAGAGTTTGGAAGGCATAGGCTGAGCACAGCACGTGGTGTCCACGCACTCTAAGCTGAAAGAAAAAAAAACCTGGGACCAAAACAAAACTCCAAGAGCAAACTTAAAAAAAATCTATACTCCACTTATGCATGAAAAGCACAGCTTTTAGCATTGATTTAAGCACAGTCTTACAGAATATGTGTCACAGTGTAGTGGGCCCAATTGGGGGTGGGGAGTAGGAAGATGGTTTAATTTAAGCCTTTTGCACCAAAGTCCCTACTAACTCATACCCTGTGTTCAGCTGAGCTGAAGTCAAGACAATGTGATTCAGAGCTGTTTGCTGTCCTTGCTCACGTTCTGAGGGGTATTATCACAAAGCTGTAAGCTCCTGCACAAAATTCAGATGTTATCTGAAACACCTGAGTTCGTGCTCTTATGAGGTAGCTACACAATCAAATTCTGACATGTTCTTCTAACTAAAGATTCTGCCACACAGTCCCCCAACAGCAGCTTAAGACACGTGGACAGGTTTGCATTCAAAGGAAATGCCACAGGCCACACTTGAGGAGACCCCATTGTTGGCTGCAATGTGGGGTTTAGGTGCCCTTGCCCAGCTTCAGCTCCTTCCTCCTGTGGGACCAGGAATCTCATTTGGCATTTCACTCAACAACAACAAAACTATCTTTCTTTTCCTGAACTTTTTTAAAATTAAAAAAAAAAAAAAGCAGGATGGCTTCCCTGATACAGGTCATAGTACAGCTCCAAAAATAGTTATGTCAGCAGAACTGAAAGTGTAGGGCAGGGCATTGTGCATGGAGACAACAGCACAGAGAAACACTTTAGATTAGAAACAGTCAAATCAAAGCTGACTGCAGAGCCCTGGCCATTGGCAACATTCAGCTGGAGCAAATACCCAACATGAAAACACTGAAGAGATTGAGGAAGGGGTGCAAATCTGTGTGTGGGGGGGGTTCCTCTTTCTGTGTCACACTGGAGCTTTTTACTCTGCATCTAGTCCAGACCAGGAAACGGAATTTTGCTTCCTCTGTGTGAACAAGCTGAGTCCTTATTTCAGTCTACAAATCAGAAGCCTTGTACAATCTAAAGCTCAAATGCAAATGGTGGCTATTCAGGTGCCAACTGGGCAATCCTAAGAAGGTCTGGGAACTATTCAGAAAAACAGGAAGAAAGAGAATAATCTGAAATAGGAGTAGAGGAAACACCTAGACTACCCCAAAAGCTTTCAAAGAGAAAAGGGAAGTGTAATTCAGGGGTAACTACGTTTAGCTCTTGTGAATTAGCCCAGCCAAATTTCTTTTTTTTGTGATTAACACTATGGATATCATCCTGAGGATCAGCATGAACCTGATGTGATCACTCATCTCTACTACTGCAAGTCACATTTCTCCAAGAACTGAAATTAGGTTCCCTGGGATCACAACAACTGTTTCTTTCCTGAGAGTTTTAACCAGCTCCATTCATCTGCATTTAGAAAGTTTTACTGGTCAGCTATGCCAAAACTGCTTCCTTCAGGAATCCAGCAACTTGTACTTCTGAAGGGGAAACCCTGAAAATCTGCAGGAGTGCTCCCTACACTTCCTTGCTCTGCTTCAGGTTGAAAAAACTGTTGATTTTTTCCCCAATGGGAAAAATCACAGGTTATTATATTAAAAAAAGTAATTATTTTTATTAAACTGCCCCTCCCTAATGCCTTATTTGACACAAGAGTTTGATAGAGTATTTGTTTATATGGCTCTGTTTAGGTGGATAAGGAGCATCTCCTTCATTTGTTTTAAAAAAACCCCACATCTAGATTTGTCAAAAAATTATGGATGCAGAATGCCACACAGAAAACAAACAGCAAATTAACTTCCTTAAACTTTAACATGCCCATGTGTGTCCAAAAGGAAAGAGGCACCAGAAATGGGGCTTTTTATTTCAAGTTAAAAGGAACATTTTTTGCATCTTTTTTATTTAAAAACAATAAAGTTTTCAAATATATCACATTTAAAAAAAAAAAGGAAAAAACCCTCCATCGCGGGAAAGGTATTTAGATTGGAAAAAAGAGTCAGGCATTCACAAATTAGGAAATGGCAGATTTGAACTTGCTCATGCAGACATAATTCTATTCCCTTGTGGGATCATCCTGTATGTTGAAATTAGGCAGAATGTTGTTTGAGGAAAAATGAGCATGTAATCATGTCACTAAAGACTCTCATTATTCGTAAGTGTAAGTCATACTTCCTGGAGAGAAGTTTAGATGAGCCATAACAGAGAAAAATGATCTCGTGAACAATTATAACAATCTCTTCATAAACCCAACACGAATCCTGAACATTTCAGTACTGCAAACCTTGGACTACAGGACTACAGGACAAATAAGGGTAGCTAGAAAAAAGCCTTTAGAGGAGGACTAATCCAGTACAAAGCTACTAAAGAGGACTAATCCAGTACAAACTCTGAGGAGAGCCTGGCCAAGCCCCCCCTCCAAGGAGCTTGCAGGTCTGCAGTACATGGTGCTTCCAGACTGCAAGAAACAGCAGGAGCTGCTCTGTTTGGGAAGGTTATGAAAAGACTCTGCTCCTACTCCTTCCTTCTGCTTTCAGTTCCCCCCCAAACTGGGGAGGGAGGGCAGGGGCTGGGCAGCAGGTCTACAGACAGGGTTCTGTGACATGCAAACACTCCACACTTTCTACACAAACCAGAGCTGCCCCGACAGCTCCTTTGGGCTCTTGTTCCAGTTCATGCTACACAGTGTGTACTGGCACTGTTGGTTTGCTCTGAGCTCCTCAATAAACAGCAGGCATTCATTCAGCCAGAAGATTATTCATTTGATCTCTTCCTCTGGAGTAACTCCAAGCATGCCATTTCCCTTAGCACCTCACAAACCACCCTCATTCAGCTGTAACAAGCTGACGATCCCAACACTTACCTACACCTTCTGCATGTGGTGAAAGTGGAAGAGAAAGCACACGCCACGGGGCCACAGTCCAGAGAACAAACAAAAGAGAGCAATCATTTAGTTAGAAGGTCCCTTTACACATCTGTCCAGCCTTCAAAGCTTGGGCCTAACTTAATAAAATAAGGGAGAGCCCCGAGGCAGGCTCGGTGTTTGCCCTCAGGATCAGGCACAGGGCTGGCAGCTCACACCGTGTCACTGCCCTGGGAAGGTGCCCTGCCCTGCTCAGGGCTGCAGCTGCTGGGGTGGCACCTTGGCTGGAGCGAGGGCACAGCACACACAGAGAGCAGCACTGGACCAGACCCGCTCCCAGGGAGGTGATCCCTCCTTACAGCACAGCACAAGGATCCCAACAGGGACACGGGGTTGGACGTGGCTCCGGCAGGACTGTGCTGATCCTGCTGCTGGGCTCGCAGCTGGGAAGCTCAGCATTAGCTGGCTGTTGCCATGTGCCACTGCACATGTTGATAGGAACAAGCCTGGCATCAACAGCTCCACTGGACTGAAAACATCTGGTTTTTTCCGGTCTGGGAAACTAAATGACTCTGTCATAAAGGGCTCAGTCAGCATATAGTTAGAAGATCGTTTGGACAAATTTCATAACACAGGCACTCCCCCCACAACACGAGATTTTTTTTGTGTCACAAATTCCGGTTCTCAAAAGAAAAAAAACCAAACCAAAACCAACCAAACAAATCAACTCAAAAAAACTCCCTCAAATCTCCCTTGGACTAAATATTAAAACATTAAATTTGAAACCCAAACAAGGTTGGGTTTGTATTTGCTTGGCTAACAACAATTCTATTTCTGAATTTTAAATGTTTGGGGATGACACTAACCTAGTTGACTCATATTATGCCAAATTATTACCATTGAAAGCAAATCAAGTACCAATTTAGTTTCAAAGAAGTTTGGTTTTCTTGTGTCCATCAAAAGTCAACTCTTAGATTTTGCTTTTAGCTCTCTTCTTACTCCCTGGAACTGCAGTGAAAAGGTACAACCAGAAACCTGCAGCCACATCTTTTTGTTTTAAAACCAAGCAAGATCAGTCCAGCCACCCTTTAGAATAGTCAAAAAAACCCCCCAACTTGCACTTTTGAACATGCTAGAATGAATGTTTTTAGGTCTATATAGATACCCGGCAGGTCATCTCTGATTGGATTTGAATTTATCCCACACACACTTAATTTTTGCACTCTGTTGATGGCTTTTGAGGTAAAAGTCCATCTGAATCCAACAGCAAAATTTATTTGGACAGAGCTGAAATTTCACTCAGGCTTTTAATAATAGCAGCAGAGTAACACAAATACTTGAGACAACCTCCCTTGAGTCACCCTGAGTATGATGGATGCCTCAATTCAGGGGGGTGACACTGTCAGTCTGTCTTACAGGACACTGTCTTAGTCATGGGAAAGTACCAGGGTCACCACCTGTCATGAAAATGGTTAAAACTCACTACATTTTAGTTTTCATCCACAATATCTGCTGCCCATCTTACTTGGAGGTTAACCTTCCAATAAATACAAGCTTGAGTTTCTGCACATACCCTTAGATTACTGTAACTTTCAGATTGCCTTTCAGCCATTAGACTTCAACTTTAAGACTCCTCCTCCTCAAGCTATTAATTCTAATTTTCTTTAGATCCTGGGCCTAATGGATTTTGGATTGAAAGGCTTTTAGAAATTTTTAAAGTATTCTCTAGTTTTCTAGAGGAGCTAATATCAACCAAAATACAAAAGATTCACACTACAATAAGAATGAGGGAAAGTACAGAGAAAAACCTCATAAGAAATTCCTGGCATTTATTTAATCTCTTGAAGCTGAGGATTTCAATGCATCTCACCAATTATAGCTCTGTGAGGCCTGCAAATATTATATTTCTGTAGAAGAAGGAGACTGAGAAGTAAGTTCTTTCTGTCTTTTCTTCTGTCTCTCACATAATCAACAATACAGAATCAAAACAAACCTAAGTAGACTGGTACTAAATCCAGTTCTTAGACAAGACAAAAACAGCATTTGGAAGTAAAGATTTCATTCTAAGAACCAACTATATTACAAATGTATTTTTGAGAAATATCTATGTTCTGTCATTCCTGGAAAGTACTATGGGCAACCTTCCAGACAAAATGCAATAAATTTATATGAATTTATGGCTTTACTCTGTATCTTAAAAGCAAGTATATAATAATTAGTCCATTGATGTGAAATATATTGCTCTTCTCTCAAACAGTGCTATGCTTTGTAATTCAGCTCTTGGAAGCAAATAGCCCAGGTGTTTTGAATGTAAATTTACAAACAACTGCAGTATTTAATCCTGGTGATACACGCAGGGTAAACTCCACTCTGCAAGAGCACACAGATACTAAAATCCTTGAATTCATGTCTGTCTTGTACTTCAGAGGCAAGTTATGTCACACAGGCATGCAGACACAACAGCTGTACTGTGTGTGGCTTGGGAAGGTCCTTAGTGATCACTGGGAGCCTAAAAGGCAAGATTTAACTGCCTTGTACATGCAGTGTACTGAGAGCCATCACTTTAATAGATGGCCAGTGCATTTAACTGTGTCACCCCCCAGCAGGTGATGGAATGCACTTACCACATCTCACAGGCCAGGTTTCTGCCACAAGATGCTGATGGGGAGGGACTCAGGCCAAGCTGTCAGCAGGCCCAGCCCCGACAGGCCGATGGACCATCTGGAGGACGCAGCCCTGTCGACTGGCCAGTGACTTCCACATGTAGGAGCAGGGTGTGCACCTTCCCCCTCCCTTCTGATGGGGGTCTGGAAGGTCTCACAGGGAAGACACACATGGCCAGCCTGTGTTTGGAGTCTGCCTAGACCATCCACTGCAAACTGCACAGCAAAGAGAACAGTTCTTCCCACTGCACCTGGAAACAGGATGGGAAGTGATTGCTCTTTTTTAACTAGAGGTAATTGATTCTTAGTTATTTTGTGTGGAAATACAAGAAGGATCACTGAAGTATGCAAGAGCAGTACTTTCTGACAATGTTAAAATGTGTTTGGTCTGCACAGGCATGCAGCATTTTTTCTTTAGAATGAAGCTATTTGCTTATTCATATAAAGACAGATTAAAATGCATTCAGCTGGTAATATACCATATTAGTAAAAATGCCAAATTTGTCTTTTCCTCCTTCAACATCACCATCTCTGTCCAGCCCTCATCCCTTTTAAACACTGCAAGAACAGAGAGGACTGATGCTCTTGTCACATGAGTAAATGGAGAGCATCACAAGCTACAGAATAAATTCCAAAGAAGAGTGCAGGAACACCCACCCATGAACTCCCTCTGATTTAGAGGGGAGAACTGTCAGCTTGTGCTCTTCCACTGATAGCGTCAGCATCAAGATAAACTTGAGATTAACTTCTCAATTGCTAAAGGCTCACAAAGGAAATTTGTCTTACTGTGATTTAACACTGTGAGCCAAGAACCAGTTTTTCCCGTGGCACACTAATTTGGTGCTACTGCTAACACACTAAGAAATCCATGTTGCAAAGCAGTGAGGATGGCACTCTGGGATTCAGATTTAAAATTTACTTCAGTGTTCCTTCAGGCTTCTCTACTGCACTTTGAACCAGGGCCTTAAAGACACCCAGTAAAAGGGAGCACATCTGACCAAGCTCAGCAACCACGGCCCCTGCAGAACACGAGGGAGTGAGAGGCACAGAGCAGTGAGAACAACACCTGGATACCTCAGAGACAGATAAAATATGTGCTATGGTTCAAACAGAAGTGTTAATGCTGTGATGCTGCTTCAGCTGCTTGGACTTCAGTGACTGAAGGCCACTTCAGGTGCCTTCACGGGACTACATTGTGGCTTCCCGGACAACAGTTCTTCCTTCAGGGAGGAGGGGAAGAAAAGGGGGGAAAAAAAACCAAGAGAAAGTATTTCCCTGCCTTAGAGAATTTTTGGTCACAAACTTAAAGGAACTGCAGTGATAAGACACAATGACAAGGGAAAGCAAGTGATGAACCTAACAAAGGTGCAGAGTACCCCCACCTTGGAGCTGGTCTTCCTGAAGCAGCCCCAAAACCCCAGAGGTGCTGCACAGCCCAGGGAAGCTCCTGCTGTCACTCACAAAGCTGCAAGAAAGTACAGGACAGGGACCTGGCTTCAGCTTCTCTGGCAACTCCAAAAGTAACCCTTGCAGGAATTGTTCTACTCAATACTTATCAAATCGTAGTAAATGGGAAGAAACAAATAGCATATAAAAACCTCACATGCATTTTCAATTCGAAGTCATGCCATGTTAATTCCTAGGCTGCTCTTCAAATATAGAAGCCATAGTAGCTCATTTGCAGATGAAAAAAGCTAGGGAGATGAACTGATGGAAGAAACTTATTCCCATTTAAAATGCCTGGCACTAAGTCCAAATCAGACACAGTGGCTTTTGCCTGTGTATTAAATAATTATAACAAATGTATTAAAGGAGGTCCAATGACTTTCTGTGAACACCTATATCACACATGACAGTGTCTGCTGGAGAAATGCAGTACAATGGACAAGTTTATACAACAAAGTCCTTTACCCTGGAGTTCAGTCCAGAGAATACATAACACAGATGTGTTTGAAAAGCCTTTGTTTGGTCACTATTTTCCTTAAAACAGAAGATCATAAAGAAAACAGGAAAACCCAACCACACTGCCCCACAGAAAAATCTTTGTTACCCATCACAGACAGAAAAGCTTTGGCTGCTGCTGTGTGACCCTACATAGCAATCGACCTGCCACCCTCCACAGCTCTATTTTAGCAGTATCTTATTTAGTACTTCAAGTCCCATGACCCATATCCAATAAAGAGGTTCTGCCTAATACACTGAGCAGATAAAAGGATGTTTTTCAAGCAAAGGTTATGCAAGGGATCCATACTGCAGTGCAAGACCCAGAACAGTAAACAAATACAAAGATCTAAAAAAAACATATTTTTGTTCTTCAACCCATATCCCATACCAGTCACCTGCTTGTAACTGAACCATGCCTGTTTAAGCTGCAAACACAGATTTTTGTTAAGATTTATCCATTCACCTTTTTTGAAATTAAAGAAAAAACTTTACCAGTCTAGTCATTACACATTCCTAGGAGGCAGGAAACTCAGAAAAACATATCCAAAGACAGACAGATGAGAGCAAAGAAGCCACATCTGTATCAGTTTCTG